AGTTTTTGAACCCCTACAGGGATGAGGACTCCACCACTGTCCTGGGCAGCCTGGTCCAAGGCCTGACCACTCTTTCAGGACAGAAATTTTTCCTAATATTCAACCTAAACCTCCCCTGGCGCAACTTGAGGCCATTTCCTCTTGTCCTATCGCTGGTTACTTGGGAGCAGAGACCAACAGCTGCCTCACTACAGCCTCCTTTCAGGTAGTTGTAGAGAGCGATAAGGTCTCCCCTCAGCCTCCTCCAAACTAAACCATCCCAGCTCCCTCAGCCGCTCCTCATGGGACTTGTTCTCCAGACCCCTCCCCAGCCTCGCTGCCCTTCTCTGGACACACTCCAGTCCCTCAGTGTCCTGCTTGGAGGGAGGGGCCCAAAACTGAACACAGCACTCGAGGTGCAGCCTCACCAGTGCCCAGTACAGGGGCACGATCCCCTCCCTACTCCTCCTGGCCATACTATTCCTGATACAGTTCAGGATGCCATTGGCCTTCTTGGCCACCTGGGCACACTGCTGGCTCATGTTCAGCTGGCTGTAAACCAACACTCCATAATCCTTTTCTGCCGGACAGCTTTCCAGCCACTTCTCCCCAAGCCTTTAGTGTTGCATGGGGTTGTTGTGAGCAAAATGCAGGACCCGGCATTTGGCCTTGTTAAACCTTGTAAAATTGGCATCGGCTCATTGATTCAGCCTATCCAGATCCCTCTGCAGATCCTTCCTACCCTCAAGCAGATCGACACTCCCGCCCAGCTTGGTGTCACCTGCAAACTTACTGAGGGAGCACTCAATCCCCTCACCCAGATCATTTGTAAAGACGTTAAACAAGACTGGACCCAAAAATGAACCCTAGGGAACACCACTCTTGACTGGCCACCAGCTGGATTTAACTCCATTCATGACCACTCTCTGCACTCTGCCATCCAGCCAGTTCTTTACACAGTGAAGAGTACACGGAATGGTGGTGTTGGGTGGATGATTGGACTTGATGATCTGAGAGGTCTTTTCCAACCCATGATTCTGTGACACTCCCACCCAACTTGATGCCATCTGCGGACTTACTGAGGGAGCACTCGATGCCCTCGTCCAGATCATTGACAATTTCTTTACTGAATGTAAAGATTCAGTTTGCTTTTAGTGCTTGGTATTTGTTTCTGTCTGTCTTGGAACATGTCTCTGGGAGAGTGTTTAGGGAGTAACGTGGGTCTGCTAACGCCCAGCCCGTGCCAGGCAGTAGTGGGAGAAGAACTTGGTTCCTGTGTCTTTTGCTTCAGAGATGTCAGCTATGATTTTTTGTAATATCCTGTCTGTTCGTTGTGGCAGCAACTTCTACAGCTTAGCAAGGAATCTGAGTAACTTATCTATAAGTATGTAACTAATAGCAGATCAGAGAAACTTGACTTTTTTAAAAAAAACCCTAAATCCTGTGTTTTGTTTTTGCCTTGCTGAATTATGATTAAATTATGTTGATGTTGAAATGCTCTTTCCCCCCCTTCCCCCCCCGAGATGTGGCATGGCTGGGGCTTCAGTACTAACAGGATTATTTTTTTTTCCCCCATCACTCTCGTTAGCATTTCTGTGGTGAATGATTTAGTAATTGTTTCCAGAGAAAATTGTTCAAAGAGTTTTCTGAGCAGAGGCTCGTGGAGAGCTTGGCAGATTGCGTGAGGTTGTTTTTAGCTTGCGAGACTTGCTCAGGTTTCCAGAGTCTGTTTACTCTTGCTTGCATGCAAAGTGCTGTCGGTGTTGAAGCGTTGATACAGTTTGATTCCTGGCTTTTCCACAGATATTATTTTCAAAACGATTAATTTTTAGACAAAAAGTCTAGATGTTATTGCCTACGACTTGGAGTTTGCATCTGTTATAAATAATTTGAATTTTCAAAGATGCTGACGCCTTAAAATAGATAGATATGTGTGTGTGTGTTTGTTTATCTGCATCTATACCTACATCTACATCTGTCTGTGTCTCCACAGAAGGTACAGATGCTTCCTGTGCTCCTGAAAATTGGAGTTGTTTTTTTGCTTGCTTAAATGTAGATCTGCAGAACCTCGGTAACTGGCTTTAAAAAATCTTGAGCTAAATTTCTGAGAGTGAGGAGTATTATGATCAATTAAAATGGACAAAGAGGAAGGTGGTTTTCAAAATCTGTGGGTTTTGCCTTTTTAATCTGGATAAGAGCTGAACCTTAAAAGTGCACTATGGAAAAGATTCTGGAAAACCACTTTGACTCAGTCAAAATATTTAAAAAGTTTAGCTGATAACATTAACAGAGCGCTAGGAACAGACACAGCAAAAAGGTTCCAAGATACCGGTTTGGGGAACTTCTGATCTCGCTTCCTTCTCTTTGCTGCCAAATTGGATTTCGCAGAGTGTTTTTGTTTTACTGAAACTGTGCTTTAAGTAGGACGATGTGATTTTGCCAGCAGGCTGTGATTTGCTCCAGCCATGTGCTGGTGATGGAGTTTATAACCTCCCCAGGCAGGAATCTGATTTCAGGTGCCAAGACGCGCTCTGCAAGAACGCCGTGTTTGGGCATCTTCAGATACTGCTTCCATTTGATGTCCTCCTGCCCTGGCAATTTATTTTCAACTGTTTATCCTGTACTGCAGCTATCTGTTAAAACCAATCTGGAATATTTTGACTAATGCGTATGAGATAGGAACATATATCCGAACGGTCTGGCTCTTGGTTTTGTCTTCTGCCCATGTGTGCTCCTACCAGCCTCTACGCTAAGGCAGAAGATGTAGAATCTCAGTGCCTGGTTTTTGGGAACCCAAGTGATGTATTGGATCTGATGCCCCAAACTCCTCCTGGATCCATCTCCCTCAGCCTTGATGAAGTGTGATTGTCTTCTCCGTCGTCCATGGTATTTGAAGAAAACATAATACCCTCTTAGAATCTGTGGCAAGGAGAAGCGATGGCTGCAGCCAGCAGATTGCTGCCTGCGTTTTGTCTTGCGGAATCACAGAATGGTCAGGGTTGGCAGGGACCTCTGTGGGTCATCCAACCCCCTGCCCAAGCAGGGTCACCCAGAGCAGGCTGCACAGCACCGTGTCCAGGCAGGTCTGGAATATCTCCAGAGAAGGAGACTCCACAGCCTCCCTGGGCAGCCTGGGCCAGGGCTCCGTCACCCTCAGAGGGAAGAAGTTCTTCCTCATCTTCAGACAGAACTCTGCTTCAGTTTGTGCCTGTTGCCCCTTGTCCTGTTGCGTTGGATGTGTTTGGTTGTCACACTTCAAGCAGGAGTAATGGAAATGTGAAAGCAGGTTTTGAGCAGCTTTGCTCACTCCTTCCAGTACCTGTATTCATGCTTATTACAAGTAATGAGTATTCCAAGTAATGAGCATGGGTATCAGTTTCCTTCGTACCACAACAAAGGGTTAAGCATAGTTCTGAAACCTGTTCCGAGCTGTTCATCGAAACCCTTCCGAGCTCCAGCCTGGTCTGCTGCTGCTTGGTTGGACATCCCTGCGAGCAATGTCTAGACAAGTGCAGTTGTCTAGAACATGCGCTGTGCAATGTGTTGCAGATGTTGACAAAAATGAGTCCTTTGCTGGCTTTGTTCCCTTCTCTCTTTCAGTGGCCTCTTGAATTGTTAATGGTTTTAAATGCTGATGTTCTTTGAGTGTCCTGGGAGGAATGATTCCAACTGATACTTTCTGCTTTTACATCCTTTTTCTTTTGCTCCTGTCAATTGTCACCTCCTATTTGTAGGTACCGAGGGGTAGACGTGGTCATAGAATAGTCCTGGCACCATCTCGGTGGTGGGAACCGCTAAACTCTTTGACTTTGATCATGGAAGAAGGGATGACCCAGGGATGGGAACGTGCTACTGAGGGTGGGGGATACCTGGAACTGCTGTGCTCTGACATTGTCCTGGGGCATGCAGCGCTTGGTGCATGAAGAGATAAGGTCTTTGCACTAGAGGGGAACAGTCCTCTGTTCAGGAGGTCATCGGGGACTTTGTGAAGAGTCCAGTACAGAATGGGCAATGGGCTGTGCCGTGGACTTCATCTGAACTTCTTGCAAGAATCATGTAGTTGGTCTAAATAAATCATTTACAGAATCACAGAATCACAGAATGTTCGGGGTTGGCAGGGACCCCTCTGGGTCACCCAGCCCAACCCCCTGCCCAAGCAGGGTCACCCAGAGCAGGCTGCACAGCACCGCGGCCAGGCGGAGCTGGAATATCTCCAGAGAAGGAGACTCCACAGCCTCCCTGGGCAGCCTGGGCCAGGGCTCCGTCACCCTCAGAGGGAAGAAGTTCTTCCTCATCTTCAGCTGGAGCTTCCTCGGCTTCAGTTTGTGCCCGTTGCCCCTTGTCCTGTCGCTGGGCACCACTGGAAAGAGTCTGGCCCCGTCCTCCTGACCCCCACCCTGCAGATATTTAGAGGCATTTCTAAGGTCCCCTCTGAGCCTTCTCTTCTCCAGGCTGAACAAGCCCAGCTCCCTCAGCCTCTCCTCGTAGCAGAGATGCTCCAGTCCCCTCCTCATCCTCATAGCCCTCCGCTGGACTCTCTCCAGTAGCTCCTCATCTTTCTTGAACTGGGGAGCCCAGAACTGGACACAGGACTCCAGATGGGGCCTCACCAGGGTAGAGTAGAGGGGAAGGAGAACCTCCCTTGACCTACTAGCCACACTAATTAGGAATTTATTTAGGAATAACTTTAGCTTTTCTGTTAGGGAATTCCTGTTGCTGGCTGGCTGGTATTAGTCTGTGTATTAGTTTTTGTTTGTGGAGGAAGGTTTTTTTTTCCTAGGGTGCTGGTTTGAAACAATACCATCAGTCTGATAGAGAAAGCATCACTCTGACTTGTCATTCTTTAAGGACAATCATAAGAAAGCGTGTAGAGTTTAACAGGAGAATCCCAACTGCCTGGTTGTTTGTAGTGGCTCTTAAGTAAATAAAAATCTAGTGATGGATCTTCTATATTTAGGAAATCCTTTGTGAATGTTTAGTCCCATTGGAGACTAATGTGTGTCTTTGTTTTTTGTTTACAGACTCACTGGACCGTCTGGGTATGTAACGGATGGGCCTGGAAATTACAAATACAAAACCAAATGCACCTGGCTCATTGAAGGGAGGTGAGTGTAGTAAGCATCTGGAGTGTCGGTGTTGCTCATTGTGCCTTTTAGGTGAGGTTTGTCTGCATTGAGTCTTTCTAGATCTCATAATTCATTTTTGTTATTCTTAAGACTAAACAGGGCAGCACTTTGTTGTTCTTGGTAAATAAGTTTTTGGTTTTTTGTGCAACTGAGCCCTCCAAACTGACTTCTGAATTCAGAGTTTGCAGTGTAAAATACCCTTTGCGTTGAAACCACACATGGAAAATGAAAAGAAATGCATTTGTATAAATAAATAAAGAATTATGAATTATTTAACTGTTATCATAGTGGGCCATTCAGATGCGGGGATTCACTATGCACAGAACTTTTTGGCAGTATGAAAAAAAAGTACAGCAAACTCTATTAAAGCCCTTATTCATAACAATCATTTTCTGTAATGATGCGCTTCAGATGCTTGTTCCCTCACTAGGCCATGAGGACTTCAGAGGGATCATTGACTTTTTTTGCAAAGGGCTTCTGAAGTGAGAGAAGTCCCCCAGACCTCTTCCCCTGGCTTTGCCACCATTCCTGTATTTGATCCGTGTATTGCTTATCGGAGGAATCCCTCCTGCAGAGATTTTTAGGAATAGCTTATTTAGTGCATGTCCTTTGACTGTCATCTGGTTGATGGTACAGCAGTTCAGAGCATCTGACTTGAAAGACATTTTGCATAGTGCCAAGCTGATGCCAGAACTGTGAAATCAATGTGTACAGTCTCTTAAACTCCGCATGGTCGGTTACGATGCTGTGTGTCAGCAGCGGTGCGTGAAGTTGTGTTCTGTGCCGGTCCCTGAGTCGGTCAGTAGGGAGGTCTGTGGATTGGAACGAGTCCCTTTAGAGCACGAACTTGCGTTGGCTGCCTGTGAGCTAGGGTCTGTTGGCATCTTCACTGCATCCCAGCATGGTGGGGGTTGGAAGGGAC